CCACACCCATTTAACCCGCTAAACGGTTTCGACAGTTGGCAGGGGATCTGAGGACAGCCCAGTTTTTTGAGGAGACCAACTTTTTTGGGGCTGGCTTTTTGAAGGGAAAACCAAAAAGGACAGCCATCATTTTGAGGGTCCCCTAAAGAATACGCATCCATGTGTGAGTGTTGATTGGTTTACATCTTTGGGGTGGAAGTAAGGTTTATGTACTTCGAACAGGAATCAGGGCTGCAAATCTCGAAAACAATTTAAACCATCAATTAGTCGTCAACTGAATGTGGGTATTTGTTTTTTGATAGGGATTTGCAGCCCCAACGGTTTAACTGAAAAGCATCATGTGTTTCTTGGCCGACATACTTTGGACAACACGCATGCCTAACCACCTTGGTTTGTCGCAGTGGTTCTAGGTTTCAGGGGTTCATCCACCTCGGCTGCAGGAGTTGGTAAGAACTTGGAGCCCCCAACACGGGTGGCTTCCCTGGGTGTTTGTTGAAGCCAAGCCCGGCAAAGGGTCGGCTCAAAGAAGCACAGCCTGCCATGAAAGGCAGCCAGCCTGGGCTAAGAAGTCAGTGGTTGGAAGGAATTTAGAGATCCACTGTGAGGGTTGTTAGAAAGGGAGCCTTAATGCGAGCGCATCGCTCGAGAGACAGAGGACTATGACCAACAAAGAGTTTGACAGAAAGCGTGCTGAGGAGATGTGTGTTGGTTGGTGGCTTGAAAGGGGCATAGTGACTGGAAAATCTTGGGCGGCAGGCTGTAAGGGCGACGTATGCAAGCAGGACAAGGACACGGCCCAAGATCAACCGCCCTCATTGCTATTTGCTGAAATGATGCGCTGGGAGTATATTCCATACGGATGTGATATAGTAATTGTTGGCTCTCTTGATCGATCTCAGGAGCGCGGGGAAACTTCACAGTTCCTCATTGACCAACTCCGACGGGTCTGAGTGGCAGACATTGCTTTGTCCTTTCAACACAATGTTGTCCATACACAGATGAGCCACAATCAAAGCCCGGGTAGATGAAGGTTAGTAGGGGACAATCGCCTTGCCAGAAATAGCTGCGAGAATCCGGCTTCTTAATTCTTGACATGGTTCTGGGATTACGACCGTTTTAATACAAAGGGTTTTGAGCAAGTGACTAGGATGCCAGGAAATTGACTCGGGTAAAGAGGTCCAAGGCAGAACGAGCCTCCGGAAACGGGCAACCGCCACACGCCTGTCGCAGGCACATCGCAACCAGCAACCAGAATTGTGTATCGTTGTTTGCGTGGCAGTATGTAGATCACAACATTTGCGCTGTGATATACAGGGCTCCTTAAAGATACATTTTGCAACCATTTGAAACATGTTGCTTTTCCCACCAAAATAAAGGGAAACCACCATTTACAAGGCAATGTTCAGGTGTATAATGTAAGGATCCCTGATATAGAATCATTGTTTGGCTTTGTGTGCAATGTTGATAGCCTGCTGTCCAATGAACAAAGCATTTGTTGCGAGGCATCAGATCGCGTGGATGTCCTCATGGAGAGAGGACGTTTGCAAGTGGCGGTGAACGGCTACCGGGTGGCGGCACAACAAATGCAGGCCGCACAAAAACGGCGAGTCAAGAGAGAACAAATTGCGCCCTGGGCTTATCTAGCGACCTTTATGGGAAAATCAAGGCCCCGGGTCAGTTGCATTGTTTCGACATGTTTGAAGGGGATTCGTTGATTGTCTTTCGAAAGTGCACGACCATATGAAATCCACTGATGGCAGCTGTGCCCAGCCGTAAGGCAATTGGGGGTCCTCAACCATTTAATTGGGTCAAACATGGACATCCCGGGATCCCAATCAAGAGACACATCTTCAATGTTTCTTGATAGCGGCGAGCGCCCCTGCGTGTTGCCAGACGGTGCCTGAAACGAGTGTGCCTTTGTCATTTCATTTGGGAAGTAGCTGCCGTGTCAAATATGTAGGGCCACCCGATATGCCAAAGATCTCAGAAACAGGTGCCACGAGGCTGCAACTCAACATGGGACCCAAGCTGAAGTTCCCAACAGGAGAGTCGTCCAACATATTTGTGTTACTGTCAAAGCATGGTTTCTTGTGGGATTTGACTGGGGTTGGACCGGTCCTTTCAGGGATTTGACTGATTTCTAGATGGGAACTTGACTGGGTTTCTATTGGTTTCTAGGGGTTTGGTTTCTAGAGGGATTTGGCCGGAGCTGAAAGGGGGAATTTGACCAGTTTAATTGAAAAAATGACCGGGTTTTGAGGCTCTGGGGACTGCCTCTAGCTCCCTTCTGGCGCACTGGAGGCAGCTGGAGCAGGGATGAGGTTCTAAAAAGGCACTGACCTCATAGACTCTTCACAGAGTTGCCAAGGTCAGAAACTGGAGGGTGTCTTTGTTTCCGGAGGATATCTTTGAGCACGCGAGAATCATTGGCCTGGGGTAATTTTCGCAGCAACTTGCTGCAAGACCCACAAGCCCACATGCCCGCATGCCTATCCATCTGGGCAGGTCTCCAATAGCAAGGTGCCCTTCTATGCTTTGCTGGACATCTCCAGCGCTGGCCTGGGTGCCGGCGCCCCAGGCACAGGTCTACAGTGAAGATTTGGAGCGGCCTTGGTGCAGTCTGTGTTCTCTTGTTGCTGGAAAGGAGGGCTGGTTGTTTCAGGCTGGCTGCTTTGGTCTCTCCTGTTGAAGACGCCTTACTCTGTGAAACCGCATGCTTGACATGGGCCTTTGGGGCCAGCAAAACTCTGGTGAGTCATGGCTTACGCACAGCAGGCAGGCTGAGGGCAACTTGCCCAAGGTCAAAAAAAAAAGAATCGTGCTGTCGCCGCAGACGGCTCTGGAACGTTGCGGCCCCGAAGTTGTTCTGCCCTGCTGTTCGTGGATTTGTCCGTATCCGCTGGAACTGTTTTTACTCATGTGAGCCCCGTTCAGGCAGAAGGGAAACAGGTTTCGCCTGTCCAGCCGCTTGTTTGGAGCACACGTTTCCACCCTCAAGCAGGGTTGCGCTAGGGTTCCTGCGTTCTCCAAAAGAAGGAGACTGCAAGGCCTCGCAAAACAAAGACGCGACGCAAGACTGGAGTCCGCTTGAGGTCTCACTGCAGCTGCCGGTGAAGACGCCCAGCTTAGCTTGAAGGAAGCCATGAGCTGAGATTTCGCATCGGTTGGTGAGTCAGGGGGGATGGATAAAACCCGCTTCGCAGCAGTTGTCCCATTCTCTGAATCATCCCTGGTGCGAAGCGGATTTTCACGGTATGGTTTTGACCCTACGAGGGCTTGAACAAACGGGTGTCCGATTGCATTGTATGACAATTGATTGAGCAAATCCTGTGGCCCTCACACATGGGTGTGCGGCCTCAGCGGTGAAGGAAGGGAGCCCTTTGCGTGTGAATTATCAACAATCATCCATAAGACTGTAGCACCATGTAGCACCCTAAAACTCACGTCCTGAGTTCAAGGACTTTAATTTTTTGGGGAAGACCATTTTAGTGGTAACCAACAAATGACTTGTTTGGCCAATCCACTCAGTATATAGAGATGTTGACATCCAGTTGGTGAAGGTAAAAAAAACAAAAACAAAAACATATTTTTTTGTGGCTGCCATCCTGGCTTTAGAGGCCCAGCAAGATCAGTGAGCTGGACAGGATTGCATTGGCCTGCCTTTTGTAGTTTTGATTTGCCCGGAGTGATGACCACGATCCGGAAATGGTCCCCAAAACACGCATTGGCTCGGCTCTAAGTTTTACCGCTTGCTCGCCACAACATGCTTGCCAGTGGTGCTTCCCCTGATAGAACAACTGTTGGCGAAACTGGGGCTTCAGATAATCCGGGCATCTCTCCGCATGATCAGCGAGTCACAATCAAACCCCGGGCAAGTGAAGGTTAGTAAGGGGACAATCCCAACCATAAATAGCTGCGGTTGACCATTTTAATACCGGGTGTTGATTACTTCCATTTGCTTAAGAGTATTTTTGATTTTCCCCTGTTGGTTTTAGAAGGAATCTATCACTACTGGAAATATGTTTATTTTTCCCCGGGGGCTTAAGCAAATGGAACCTTACGACTCAGTGTTGTTTGGGTTTCCTTTCGCAACCATATCACGTTTGGGGCAGGCGGCAGACCTCCCAGATCTCCCCGGCTTTGAGGTCGATGGCACCAGCGAGCTACAGATAGTTTGGGATGAAACTCAAACGAGTCAACGACTTGTAGTCATAGGTGTCCTTTTTGGTCGTTTTTGGTAGAAAACAAGTGGCCCTGGTTTACCTGGTTTAATCATCTACCAGGGCCTAAAAGGACACCCATGCTTGTAGTGGCATCCCAGTGCGGGTGTTTCAAAATGTCTGAAGCCCCGTTCGATTTTTTGGCTCAGCCGGAAGGACTCTTGAAGACTCTGTTGGTCGCTTGAAAGATGCTACACCATGCGCTGCATGTATCCTTGCACCGCTGTCCCCCGCTTCCCTCATGAGATTGTTGCTCTCAAGTCAAAGATCTCTTTGGTGTGTGTGTGCTCTGCCAGAGCGCAATTGCTGCTGCTGGATCCCTTTACCGCAAGGTGGGAATCAAGCGTGCCCCCACCTTTCTCACACTGCATTTGCTTAACTCGAACCTCAGCTGTTTCCGACGTGAGGTTAATGTTCATCAGCCGAAGCGCTCTGGCCTCAGTAGAAGGCAGATGTTAGGATGCGGTTGGTGCTACCGGCGTTTACCCGTGCCGCACGTGTTCTTAATGAGCATTGAACAAACAGCTGTTTTTTTTTTGGTTTTCGTTCTGTTGATGTTGCTTTCGCTGGTTTGTCCTGAGCGAGGCAGTCTGAGGGAGGACTGAACAGGCTAGGGATGGAACATGCATCGGCCGTGGCTTTTGGCGTTGACTTCCTGGCCCAGAGAAAAGGGCTAGGCCTGACCTTGCAAAGAAACCCGGGCCAGAAAAGTGCAAGATTGCTCTTCAAGGTTTGCCATGGTTTTCTTTACACGGCAAGAGTACACCTGTCGCTTGACCACTTTCATCACAAGCCCGCCATTTCCGGTTTCTTCTTGGTTTGGGCTCAACCTTTTCTACAATGCACGGGTTCCCACCTTTCAAATGTCTACAACTTGTTGCAGGGCTCAAAGACCGACCCAGGTTTAAGGATCAGGAAACAGGCCATGGACAAAATGAGAGTCGAAAGACAGGTGGCAGGTTTCACTCAGTGGTCGCGAGAGAAATGCGGGGACAAGTAAAAGAGCTCTACACTCTGACCGCAACGGTGAATGCTGACTGCCGGTTTGTAATCGTCATATTGTAGGTATGTGTTAAAACATGGGGGCCCTAAAGGTGGCGGGTTTCCTTTGGGGAGAACATTGAAACCAACCAAGGGCACCCTCCAAAAGCACACACCATGCGCTGCTTGGGATTTTCCATCAAAGACAAAGTAGATTGAGCTGTTTTGAGGATTGTTCGCCGACATAGTGAACGTTCAAGGACCCCGCTGACTGTCGCCATGATGCCGCTGCTTTCATCGACCATATGCCACCCTGTGCCCAGCCAGATAGCCAGATCACACGCCTACAGCTGAGGTCAAACGACGCGGCCTCCGGGCAATGCTGATCTGCAGATGGTCAAGCGTAGGATCAACTTCATTCCTTTAAGTCTGTGAGTGTTTTTTGTTGCCCACATCGGTTGAGTGGTAAACAAACACTGTGGACTGATTGCCCACTCCACTCGCCCATGTCCTCCTCCCCGGACATCCCTTCTGATTTTATGACAACTAGGTGCATAGGTGCTCCAATTTTGCGAGAGGCGTTTTGGGTCCCGAGCGCCAACAGTGGCCCCAAATGACACCGAAACAGATTCAGTGATTCATGGGGCCGTGGTTTTTTGGACAACCTCCCCCCAGAAGTTGGTTTCGGCGAGAATATTTGCTTGACCCTCTGATTCCCAGGTTTTAAGCCGCTGGGTTCATGGTAAAACCCCGGAGTAGGTAGATTGACCATCCGAAGAAGGAGCCGCGGCTCGCGGACGTCAAAAAGTTTGTTGCGAGACTTGAGGGTGTCGACACTACCGAGTGCATGGGTTTGTCTCACAGACATCGAATAGCTCCAAAGTTGGAGGCTTGTGAATGGAAGTGAAATCAAGAGGGTAGTAAACGCCCGGGGCAGTCCTACTTTTGAGAAACATCCCATTCGGTTTCGGGATCAACCATCTACTTTGGACAGGTTTTCAGAGCGCTCGGAACGGAGGACACGGACATGGTCAGGATGTTGGTGAGGCCTCTTATCCCTGCAAATGCAGAAGCGTGTTGACGTTGCTTCGCTGCATGAGATGGATTGATAGGGAGCCCCTTGGCAGTTTGTGTCTGATAAACCACCGCTCCAGAACTACGTACTATAAAGCTCTTGCACACGTTTCGCGTGGTTGCCCTTGGCAGTATCGGATTTCTTGAGCGGGATGGGCTTGCTGCAGATGTCTACATCTTGGTTTCCAGGATCACCTGGTCAACGACCAGAGGTGCTCCCCAGTTGTCAACATTTGAACAAGTCGGTACTACACTTTATGGCTATTTGGCAGGATCTTTGGACTTTAACTTTTTGGTTGAAACAGAGGATGTTCCATTCTTGGACGCACACAAAGCGAAACTTTTTGCGGAGGGGTCAACAGCAGCCAAGTACAGGACACGGGTTTTTGGTTTCTCTTCCCCTGAAGGAACCAACGTCAGGCTCCACGATGGAGGCCTCTGGCTTGAACTGCAACAATGGCCTCAGCATGTTGAACGTGGGAATCGCCCCATGCGTTTCTTTAAGATCAACAAACAAACACCGGTGGGGGGCGGGTGGGACAGCGTCGGAAACAAGGGCGGTTAGGCCTCATCATGCTGTTTGGGGGTGTCCTTTTTCTCCCATGGTCACTTGGGGTGTTCGTTTTGCAGCGCATGATAAGCCAAAAGCCTCAGGCAGGCCACTGGCACCCTCAGTGAGGTCTAAGCCAACCGATTGCTCAAGCCAGGCTCGATGACAAAGCGCCACGTGCAAAGAAATGGTCGCAGATTTACGCAAGCAGAGAGTTTACCGCACATTGCATGCTTGCAAGCAGAGAGTTTACCGCACATTGCATGCTTGCCCGATTGCTGGAAAGGCTGAGAAGCCGACAAAGAAAGGAACACATCAGTTTGTTCGCCAATTGAAATGCCGCTGAGAGACCGAGCTTATCGTAAAGACAGCCGCGGGAGCAACTTGCGTCGAGCTTGTGACATCAGCTTCTCAACCACAGCCCACTAAGGCCGGCTAGGTCCTACCCAAATTTCGCAGTGCGCTTGGTGAGTCATCCGATTTGCGCAAGCTTGCAATGCTGTGAGCCATCCATGGAGACTCGGCTGCATCTCAGAGTGAAGTGATGCAGTGCGCCTTCAAGTTGCTTTGGGGCTGTTCGGGATTGGCCGCGTTAGATTTTCGGGATCTTCACTTTGTGCATTTTTAGGAAGTCCAAGGGAACTTGTCAAAAGGAGCCTTTGAACCACCCAACAATCGGAATGAGAGGTGTTCAGCAGTTGCTTGGAGCAACCTGGATTCCACACTTCCACGCACAGGGGGGGAGGGTGCTCCACATTGTTTTTGTCAGCTACTTGGGAGATTCTCAGCCGAGTGCATGGAATGTTTTTCCCCAGCTGAAAGCTGCGGGGTCTCCGCCCAAATCGGGTCTGAAGGTTCAAAAGGAGAGTTCCAGGGCTCTGGTTGGGAATCACATGCGGGCTTAGCTGCAAACAAAACCTTTTCACTCAGGAGGTAATGACTGGAGCTTCAACAATGAAAGGAGCCTCCTCAGCGAAGCCCAGGGCTGTTTTTTTTCCGCATGCTTGTTTTGGCCCAAGCGAAGAATCCCACAAGAAAATGTCGTATTTGTTGTAACCCACAAGGTGGCCTCATTTTAAACCCTAGCTTTGGCCTCGCTGAACCCCATGCACAAATGCTCGATCAACTGAGTTGATGGCTTAGTTACTTCCATTGGTTAAGAATACTTTTTCAATTTCCCCTGTTGGTTTTAAAGGGAATCTATCACTACTGGAAATATGGTTATTTTTGTCCAGGGGACTGAAGCAAGTGGAGGGTTGCCGGCAAGTTACCGGTATGGACTCATCTTTCCCAGACAGAGAGGAGGGTTCCAACTTTCCTACCAGACACTTGAGAAGCACTGCTCCCTCACTCTCACAACTTGGCGATTTCTCTACTTCCCACACGCATGAAGCCAAATCAGGGACTCTAAACGTTGGCCATTGATACAAAACAACCCATGGGCTGTCCCAAATTTAGATTTTACTCCTGACCACCCTCTTGGTTGGTACTAGAAAAGGGAGAGAGCGAACAGATCATATTTTTGCTCGGCAGAGCCCCATAGGAAACACTCAGCACGGATCAGATTTGGGAGAGGATCATTTCAGTGATACCCTCCTGAACCATAGAGGCAGTACCTGAAAAGAGTTCAAAGATGGCCAGGAAACATGACGTCTGAAGTTTGCAAGTCCCTTGAGCACGAAGCGACATCGAAGAGTTTGCGATTTGGTACATTCGCCGTAGGGAGGGCACAGGGGCACCGGTCGGAGACTGCTGGCTTGATGGAGCCACGAGATATCTCGCCAATCGAACGTGCCACGTGAGCTTCTTGTACTTGCGCATGTGGCCGACGACCAGACATAAAACAACCACAACATATCCAAAGGCCAAGTTTGGAGTGCCTAAGGAGAGCGACGAGCTCTGCAGAGCAGCGGAGAACTATCTTGAGCACCACGAGAGTCAGGCCGGACAAAGTTGTTTTTCTCCGGGATTTGTCCTCATTCCGACCAGATTGGATCTTGCTGGTGTCCTTTCTTGACAGCAAAAAGGGCTTTCCAAATTATTTGCGCCCCCTCCATTAGCTGAATGTCAACATCACCTTGGCCAATGTGAAGTGTTCCATGCTTCATTTCGTCATGATTGTTGATAAGGAACTACCTCCAAACTGGTTGGTGGACATAAACCCCCGTATAAATATGTCCAGCACAGGGTCCCTCATTAGAAATTCACACCCATTGGGTGCGGGAGCGTGTGGCTTTTTGGACATTTGGAGTGCCAACTGAGCTTTTGCGGACCGAACCCTGGGTTGTGCAACCTACCGCCAGGCAATGGGAAATAAGTTATAGAGGCCAACTCTTGACCAACCGAGTTGACCTTTACGGCCATTTGCTTTTCGTATGAGTGCAGTAGTGATGTATGACTTCATGCTTGGGCTGGGTTATGACTGGAAAAGGCTGTCAATTGTTTTGTTCTTTTGTTCGGCACTTGAAAGAACCCGTTGTGTACGTTTGACTGGCGATACTGGCAATACACACATATGCAATTGTGTGTGTATATATGTATATATATATACAGTTATACACATACCCAGACATCAGCATACATCTATGTCGGCACATGCTTTGTTGTCGAGTAAAGCACACACACACACATAATATGGATATTGTTTAGATGATTATGTTTGTACGTATGCATGCAGAATGCCGGAGTCAGAACGTCAATGGTCCAACGTGCCCATTTCCAGAAAGAGAGTCTGGAGCACTTATATTCTAATATGTATATATGTAGTATGTATGTATATATATGTATATATATATGTATGTAATGTATGTATGTATGTATGTATGTATGTATGTATGTATGTATGTATGTATGTATGTATGTATGTATGTATGTATGTATGTATGTATGTAATGTATGTATGTAATGTATGTATGTATGTATGTATGTATGTATGTATGTATGTATGTATGTATGTATGTATGTATGTATGTATGTATGTATGTATGTATGTATGTATGTATGTATGTATGTATGTATGTATGTATGTATGTATGTATGTATGTATGTATGTATGTATGTATGTATGTATGTATGTATGTATGTATGTATGTATGTATGTATGTATGTATGTATGTATGTATGTATGTATGTATGTATGTATGTATGTATGTATGTATGTAATGTAATGTAATGTAATGTAATGTAATGTATGTATGTATGTATGTATGTATGTATGTATGTATGTATGTATGTATGTATGTATGTATGTATGTATGTATGTATGTATGTATGTATATGTATGTATGTAATGTAATGTATGTATGTATGTAAGTATGTAATGTAATGTATGTATGTATGTATGTATGTATGTATGTATGTATGTATGTATGTATGTATGTATGTATGTATGTATGTATGTATGTATGTATGTATGTATGTATGTATGTATGTATGTATGTATGTATGTATGTATGTATGTATGTATGTATGTATGTATGTATGTATGTATGTATGTATGTATGTATGTATGTATATGTATGTATGTATGTATGTATGTATGTATGTATGTATGTATGTATGTATGTATGTATGTATGTATGTATGTATGTATGTATGTATGTATGTATGTATGTATGTATGTATGTATGTATGTATGTATGTATGTATGTATGTATGTATGTATGTATGTATGTATGTATGTATGTATGTATGTATGTATGTATGTATGTATGTATGTATGTATGTATGTATGTATGTATGTATGTATGTATGTATGTATGTATGTATGTATGTATGTATGTATGTATGTATGTATGTATGTATGTATGTATGTATGTATGTATGTATGTATGTATGTATGTATGTATGTATGTATGTATGTATGTATGTATGTATGTATGTATGTATGTATGTATGTATGTATGTATGTATGTATGTATGTATGTATGTATGTATGTATGTATGTATGTATGTATGTATGTATGTATGTATGTATGTATGTATGCATGCATGTATGTATGTATGTATGTATGTATGTATGTATGTATGTATGTATGTATGTATGTATATTGGATCTGTATGAGTGTGTTTTTTGCCCTCTTTTTTCCCCAGATAGCTGAAAGCTATAGAGGCTCTCACTTCAAGTAAACAAGGGATGGGTGAGACTCAGAATTCCAGCCAAGTGCTGTTGCTGCTGCAGGGTGCTGCTGCAGAGTTCTCTTGCAGGGTGTTGCTGCAGGCCGAGACTCAGAGTTGCTCAGGGTGCTGTTGCAGGGTGCTGCTGCAGAGTTCTGTTGCAAGGTGTTGTTCCGCTGGATGTACCTGCGAACTTGACCCTTGCCTACGCTCTGGACTGGCAGGGGCGTGGTCGGCAGATAATCATTGTTTTTCATGGCGAGCTTTTCTTGTGACAGCAGAGTCACGGCTACGCACTCCGTCACTGACGGAGCGTGAGAAGCTGCAATTCAATGCTGCTTCATGGCGTCGTGACAGTGCTCATAGATAGTTCCCCTCTGCGTGCTCCCCAAGACCATGTTCCGCTGGCGCAGTGCCATGGCCAAGCTCCTGAGTGGCGCGCCTTGCCTGCATTTGTCCAGGAGCCAAGCTTACGTGACTTGATTCAGTTGGTGTCGCGCGGGAATCCAAACCCAGCTCTGTGAATGGAGACTTATATATATCCTGTTAAAATTGTTCTTGAGAATCGAAGCAAAGACAACATCCGAAACGTGTGTTGCATCTTGTTGATTCACAAGTAGTTTGTTCCATTATTGCTACAGGCTGGTTCTCCGGCCAGCACTCATGAGGACGTGCGACAAGCGCTTCGCCTTGCGAGAACAAGTAGTCGCTTGACTTCCTTCAACTTGACCACCAATGCTTGCCGGGCCGCTGTGACTGCTGCGACCGTTGCTTGGAACCCGCTTCCGTGGCACACCTGCCGCTGCTTGCAGCAGCTCCAGCGGCGCTGGCCATTGGTGAAGCTGTCAGCTACATGGTCGAACATTCTGAGGTCACTGGACGGGGTGGACAACGCTGACTGCGCCAGCTGCCTGGCGTGCGCCCGCCTGTTTGGTGAGGTTTTTGCAGGGCCAGCTGATCCGCAGCTCTATGGCAACATTGTGCTGCGATGTGTCAGACGCTCATTTCCCTTCATTTCCCCTCATTTCCCTTCCATGTCCCCCTCATGTCCATTTAGCCTACCCATAATTTCCATAATTTCCCTGCATTCCCCCTTTCAATTTCACGCGCCCTTAATTTCCCGCCATGTCCCTGCACTGCTCCCCCTTTCCTTTCATGTCCCCCACATGCCCCTTCATTTCCCCTTTCATTTCCCCTGCATTTCCCTTCATTTACCCTTCATTTCCTCTTCGTCTCCAGCATCTCCACTTCATGTCTGCATGTATTTCCCTCTCATTGCTCTCCGTTTCCCTTCATGTCCCTTTTCTTCCCCTTCCTTCCCCCAATTTCCTATGCATTTCCCTGCACCGGCAGCCGGCAAAGAGCCGGCAGGGACCTGTTTGTCCACATTGGATCCCTGAAGACTATTCTTAGTGGAACGTCATCAAATTACCGGTACTTACGTCTTGCCGGAAATGGGGGGCGGATTGGGGGGGGGTTACCTCTATCCTCCGCCGAACACTGTCCGTAGACCAAGCGTCTGACCAAGCATCCGCTGTATGCAGCTTCAGGTTTTCAGGTGTTCGGTTCATACTGCGCTATTGCACACAACAACCATGGACCCTGACCAAATAATTGGTGTCCTGTCGGTTCCGAAGCCGTTCGAGAGAGGGCTCAAACCTTTACATTTGGCCACATATCATTGTGACTTCGACTCACAGAACTCCCCCCCCCCCCCCGATTTTGAGACGTGACTACGAGCTCTGCGGAAAGGGTTTCTGTCCTCATGCTACATGTTGGGGTAGCTCTTCCCCTTTTCTTGTTTAGCCCAAAATCCAAGCCCTCAAGGCGGAGGCTGTCTCGGAGATCTCCATCACCTTGTGCTTGCTCTCGGGCAAGCAGGTGGAGATCAGCCTGGCACAGGCGGGAACCAAACAAAGAGGATGTATCAAGAAGGTTCGTGCTGTTGGCTCCGAGTCGACCACTTGGTCTAATTAGTTTGGCCCAAGGGATGGAAACCCTAAAAATATGATTTCTTGAAGTGTCCTTTTTGAATGTTTCTTAAACTGACCCAAAAGCAAAACAATATTCTGCTAGGATGCGTTTGTTACCCATTGCTCATAAAACGAGCTGTCCCTAGCTAGGGCCTTTTGACGGGGTATCTATGAGACACCTGCTCGGGATCCGAGGTGCAAAACCACATTGTGTTGCCGACCCGTGCTTTCAGCAAGTTTGTCCCTTGTTTGTTTCGGTTGCGGGATGTGGCCGGATTGTTGCGCTTCCTTTTTGCCCGTGCATGTCGCGGGTTTACCTGATCTTTTTCAACTGACTGTTTTGCATAAAGTATTCAATCAAAATGATGAAAGGAACCGGTTTACATGTTTCACAAAATTATCAAATGGCAAGCAATATTTTGTAAACTAATTAATTAAGTATTGGGGGGATGTGTACTGTGGAATTTAGGTGGGGCTTCATGTCCAACAAACACTTTTGAGGCGGTATGGTCAAGATGTGACCTGGGCTGATGTTTCCACAGGATGCCTCCTTCGCGGACTTGCGGCGCTCCGTGGAGAAGACTCTGGCGCTGCCGCCCCAGCTGGTCCGATTCTTCCTGGCCGAGGCGCGCGAGATTCGATGGACGGCATAGGTTTGTTTGGTACGCGGGGCCATAGGTGTCCTCTTGATCGGTTACAGTAGTTTGATTAAACATTGATGGGTTCCACTGGTTTAGATGGGGTTTATAAGCCATTTACCAGGGAAACCCATCTAGCTTTTCAGCCTTTTAGTGTTTAGTGGTTGGATTTCCAGTTAACCCACTAAAGGCACTTTTAGCGGGGCATCTGCCAGCCCAGTAGTTTGTTTGGCGAGTCGGGGCGCTTGCCCCGAAAGGGTTCCAGGGAAGTTCCGGAGCTGTCAGGTTCTGGAGAGGTTGCAATGCGCTTGGGGATGCTTCGATTGTTGCTAGTGCCGCCACAGGGCGCCTGGTCGTTTCGCGGCGTTTCAGCGCTGCGGTGGGGGGTGGGGGCGGGTGGGTGGGTGGGTGGGTGGGTGGGGGGGTGGTGGTGGGGGGGTGGGGGGGGGGGGGTGGGGTGGAGGGGGGGGGGGGTGGGAGGGGGGGGGGGGGGAGGGGGGGGGGGGTGGGGGGGGGGAGGGTGGGGGGGGGGGGCTGGGGGGGGGGTGGGGGGGGGGTAACAAGCACACGCGTTTTGCTCGCTCGCTCGCCCGTTTCAAGTTGTTCTCCGCAGTGTTGCGTTTGTTGCGATGCGGGATGGGTATGGTGCACACGGAAATTAGATGCGTTGAAAAGGATATCCACAAGAGATGCAAGTCGAAGGTACCATGCACACATACAGATTGGATGACCCGTTTGCCAGAAGTGAGTGTTGCCTTTTCTTTTACTCTCTGCATTGCAACACTGCAGCACCTCACCGATGTCTCATCTACTTGAGTCATTCATGCGTTCAGTTGCGCATTTAAGCTATTCATGCATGGTCGGCAGGTAAATGTTTCACAACAATATATGGCAGTGGGTCAAAGCCAATGGTACCATTTTGGGTAGGTGAATTCATCACCTATTCTAGAACCTACATCTTTGGGATGTTCACTGGGGGTACGAACTGGATTTTGGTAATGGCCCTGCTTGGGGCCAGGACGAAGGCCATAATAGTGGTCACGTATACATGGCCGGGCTGCACTGGGAAGTCATGCGTGTACCACTGCTTCCTTTTGCTTAAGTTTTTTTTTTTAAGCTTTTGGTTTTCAAGGGAATCAAACACTACTAGAAATGGTTATTTCTTCCAGGGCTTAAGACAATGGAAGACTATGATCATTGATGGTACTTTTTGGTTGCTCTCGCCGCTTTGGGTCTTTCGGCTCACTCCGAGCCTGCGCGTTTTGGGGGGTTTTGCCAATGAGGCGTTTTGGGGGAAATTTTGGGCCAACGTATCGGGCTGAAACTCGTATGCCAAGACGTATCCCCATGGCCAAAATCTGAACTTCCCCGGAAACTGCGCAGTGTCACAACCCAGGGTTTCAGACATGTATCACGGCATGCCCTTTATTTCTTTTCAACCGGTGACG